TTATTAAAACCGGAGGTTAGACCGCTGGATGTACGTTTACTTCAAGATTTAAAAGTCATTTTAGACAATAAAAATTTCAAAATAATAAAGAAATAGTATTTAAAGTCATGCAAGAATAATTGTTGTCTGTACATAAAAATAATTTTCATTGAAAGGTATACTTGTTTTTAGAATGCAACATAATACAACATTTTATATTTCTGATTTTACATTTTAGATTGTTTCATCAAGAGTATTCACAAGGGAGTTAATTTATGTTGGCAACTCAAACGCAGGAACAATCAAAGTTAGAGTTCTAACTAAATGCTAAGTCTCAATGACTTAGCATTTAGTTTATATGCATTTAGATGCATCAATTTATATGTATTTAGCATTAATTTAAATGAATTTTAATAATGTAGGGTATTTTATGTATCTTTATAGTCTAGTATATACAATGTGTTATATAAACTTAATTATTATTTTAAGCTATGTAATTAGGTATGCACTTGGCATGCTCTTGTATAGTAAATTTGTAATAGTCTAATTGTTATACTTTTTCATAGCTTGAAATAAAAATTTATTCCTTAGAAATTTGAAATAAAAAAAAGAACTCAAATAGAGTAGTAGTAATAAGCAAATATTTTCTTATAAAACAGTGGCTGCTTGTAAAAGCAGCCACTGTTAATGATGAATTGAATGTAGGAACTGTTAATGATGAATTGAATGTAGGAGTTTTATTTGCTTAAACAAAATGAATATGTAGGATTTGAAATGAATATATAGGAATTTTATTTGCTCAAACAAGAGATTAAAGGAGATTTTAGCAACCACTGCAGTATTCATGAAATAGTAGCGAGCAAGGAAAATGCTTTTTATACTTCGTCTTAAAGAAAAGACACAAAATGAATTTTGAAACAAAATAAAATGAATTTGTAAAATGTTTGTGTAAAATAAATTTTACTTGCGGAAAATTTTACTACCTTTTTATGTCCTGTATCATTTCATGTTTGACTGTTTTTGTAATTGATGTTACTAAATAAGTCAATTAGTAATTCAGTATTTGACATTTAGATTTTCTTTTTTTGTTGGTTAATTCACCTCCCTAAGATCACTACAGTCGAGAAGACTATTTTAATTGCGGTTACAACCCTTTCTCAACTCTGTAACTCTGAAACACAAACCTTAATGAACAAGGCAAGGTGGGGATCAAACTTGGAACTTCTTGCTTATGAAGCAAGCCCTCTAGCACTACACCACTACCCCACAATTTACGGGTATTGTTCAATAAGTTGTGTTTATCTTATATTTTTAATGTTAAGTTTTTAAAAATATTTATTTTTTTAAAATTTTTTTTATAAGTAATTAAAAATTTTCACGTAATTAAAATCATTTTTAAAAAAAATGTTGTTATGGACAATGCCCCATGATTTGCAACACCAATTATTTGATGAAATCTCTTGTTTTTAACAGAAATTAATTAGTATATTGTATGGATCGATTAATTAGTATATTGTATGGATCAAAGCTAACTATAGTGCTTTGAAAGATAAGAATGACAGATGCAGCTTTCAAAAAGAAAGGGAAAAAAAAATTTGATCAATCAGGAAAAAAACAAGTGAGAAAAAGTTCAGTTGGCTTTAAAGTTAAAAGTTAAAAAATAGTAAAAAAAACAAAAAGAAAAAATAAAAAAACATAAGGAAAAAAACATGAAAGAAAGTTCAGATAGCACAGATGCAGCTTTCCAACAGTAAGGATAATAAAACTCAATTAAGCAAAAAAAATATGAGAGAGAAAGTTCAATTGACATAAGGGTAGTTAATGGGACTACATGAAAAGTTCTATTGCATAGCGAATTGGCTTAGTTGCCTAATACTATCTATGTTTGAGTTTAGTTCTCTCTAATAATATAAATCATGGGGTCATGAAAGTTTGTTGCTACTAACAACAGTGTTTCATTATATATGCTAAATCTTTTTCATATATTTGTTGCTACTAACAACAGTGTTTCATTATATATACTAAATCTTTTTCATATATTTATTGCTACTAACAACAGTGTTTCATTATATATACTAAATCTTTTTCATATATTTGTTGCTACTAACAACAGTGTTTCATTATATATACTAAATCTTTTTCATATATTTGTTGCTACTAACAACAGTGTTTCATTATATATACTAAATCTTTTTCATATATTTATTGCTTCTAACAACAGTGTTTCATTATATATACTAAATCTTTTTCATATATTTGTTGCTACTAACAACAGTGTTTCATTATATATACTAAATCTTTTTCATATATTTGTTGCTACTAACAACAGTGTTTCATTATATATACTAAATCTTTTTCATATATTTGTTGCTACTAACAACAGTGTTTCATTATATATACTAAATCTTTTTCATATATTTGTAGCCTTTTTTCATATATGTGTAGAATTTTTTCTGTAAATCTTACTTCTTGCAAAATTCAGCAAATCTACTTTTTGTGAGAGACTAATTTAAAATTGTCAGTCTAGGCTGAAAATTGCACCCTCTACATATATCCAATAATAACTTAGGGAGATATGAAAGCCTTTATTTCTTCCTAGCAGTTTCAACTCGTCTTACTTGAGTTTTCTCTTTTATTTGTACCTGCTATTTTTAATTGTAATCTTTTTAACTTTTTTCACCAAAACAATAATCTTGAAAACAAATGTCTTTTTATTATTTATTTTTCTTCACAAGAAATTGAACTAAAAAGATGCTGTCTGACATCAAAATGTCTGCTTCATTATTCTCAGATTAAGACTTTCCTTTCTCTCAGAAGATTGGGTTCTAGAGCCTTTTGCAAATTTTTAAATTGCATCAAAGGTGACTATAACATTTCAACAAAATGACATATGTTGTTTCATTTTTTAAAAACTCTAGGGATCACTCAGACTTCTATTTATTTTCTTGCCAGTCTTCATACTATTATCAACAAGATCTTTGAATAATTAAAACACTTTTAATATCTCATCTTTAATGTAACAACCTACTCGCTGATAATTAATACAGATTTCGATCTGCTGATTTTTCAACTGTAAAGTTCTATCGTGCATTACATAGAAATATTGAGGCACAGGCTACGGCTACTGAAAGATTAAATTTTTTTGATAGTTTTCCATGTTCTATCATGTCTCGTTGATTTTGACCTTTTAGCCAAATAATCTTTATTTATAACCTAAAAGTTCAAAATTGTAAACAAAAACCCTAAAACGTAAATTTCATGTAAAAATGCAAAAGTATAACACAATTTATCTTACGATTGTATATCACATTTAACATGTTCAAAATGTAAAAAACTAAGCAAGAAATATATATAATAAAAATGCCATGTTAATATTTTGTAGATTGTTGCAGAAGAAATTAACAAAATGGGAGATCATTGTGTTACAATGCAGTTTCATGCAAAAAAATTAGACAAGAAGGTACTACCAGTTCTTAATGAAAAACATTTAGATAAAATATATTAATTTATTGTTGTTGTTTTTTTTTTTTGGTTGTCTGTATTATTTAAATATTTTTTTTAAATGATTAAAATTGAAAAAAATAAATGAATCAACAAATTGATTCATATTAATATTTTGTCTTTTAACAATTGTTAATGATATACTTTGTTGACTAAATGTTCAAGAAATTTAGAAATAATTTTAGTTATATAAAAAGTGCCCAACAGTTGTTAAAACAGTTTCTAACAGTTTTTGAAAGTTCTTTGAACAACTGATAGTGAAATATTTTGTCATCATTTGATTGACAGTTTTTTTATCAACAGTTTTTTCAAAACATTTTACATCAACATGTCATTTAGTTCTTAAATCACTGCCCGTTAAAAATTGGGTAATTTATTATTTAGATTAAATAACATTAAAAAAAAAAAAAACAATTTTATGATATTTTTAACTTGTTAATCATTGCAAATGGTTTGTGAAAAAATAAATTAAAATATTTGCATTGAAAGACTAGATCAAGCTGTCAACCCAAGGGAATTGTTAACAAGTTTAGAATGTTAAGGAAATACATAAAGAGTTTAAAAAAATTTAGCAAAATAAAATAATAAAATTCTTGTTATTTTTTTTTTGTTAAATTTTTTTTTAAGCTTTATTACCCTATAATCATTCTTTTGATGTATCATCCACCTTATATTATTAGTTTTATCTCACTTATTTTTTTACTTTTTGGTCATTATATATACTTTAATATAAATTAGAATAAATAATGAATTTGAATGGAATTTCTTTAAATAGTTTCAGGTACAAGTCTAAACTTTTAAGCATTTTTACAAATTTTGTATAACAACAGTTTTTTTACACAAATTTAATATTAATTTTGAGTTACTTAACTTTATATAATATTAATTTTGAGTTACTTAACTTTATATAATATTAATTTTGAGTTACTTAACTTTAATTTGGATGAAAATTAATCATAATTTTTATTTTGTTAGCAAATTATTTAAAATAATTTTTAAAAATGATTTTGCAAATGTCAATTGGTGACAATGCAAAATCATGACAAGTAATTGAAAGTTTGTGCTAAAACAATGATAAAATGGATATTTTTGGTAAATGTTAATTAGATTAATAATAGTTAAATATGTGATTTATTTATTTCTTTTGTTAAAACTGATAAATATTTATTTCTTTTTATTTTTTTTTATATTTCCTTTTTCTATTCAAACTTTTCTATATTTTATTGCTTTAAATTGTTTAATTTTTAAGACTGCTTTAAGTTTTCAGTTTTCTAATTTTATTCTTTTTTTCAATCATCTGTGAATAAATTTCTCACTTCTTTTTTTTGTTGTTGTTGTTTCAATTTTTTTTCCTTTTTAAATAAACTCTTTGATTTATTTTAAAATTGATAGAATAAAAGCACTGAGATTTTGAAAGCATTATTTTTTTTTTTTTGTGGTCTCATAAAATATAAAAACATAAAAAGTAATTTAAATAAATAAAAATAATTTAAATAAATTTTGTATCTATTTTTTTTTTAAATGTTTTTGAATTGTGTATCTTTGAGTTGTCCTATTTATTCCAGAACAACAACAATAACAAAAAAACAATATTTAGTTTATTAAAATACAAATAGATTTAAATAGAGTAACGGTTCTATATGTAATTGTTTTAAACTACAAAATAACTAAAAAATTATAAAAAACTATTTTTATTTATTTAAATTACTTTTTATTTTGTAGTTTAAAACAATTACATATAGAACCGTTACTCTATTTAAATCTATTTGTATTTTAATAAACTAAATATTGTTTTTTTGTTATTGTTGTTGTAAACTATTTTTATTTATTTAAATTACTTTTTATTTTGTAGTTTAAAACAATTACATATAGAACCGTTACTCTATTTAAATCTATTTGTATTTTAATAAACTAAATATTGTTTTTTTGTTATTGTTGTTGTAAACTATTTTTATTTATTTAAATTACTTTTTATTTTGTAGTTTAAAACAATTACATATAGAACCGTTACTCTATTTAAATCTATTTGTATTTTAATAAACTAAATATTGTTTTTTTGTTATTGTTGTTGTTCTGGAATAAATAGGACAACTCAAAGATACACAATTCAAAAACATTTAAAAAAAAATAGATACACATTTTAAAACATATTAAGTTTGCATTGTCACTTGCACACTAAAAATACATTTCATGGACTTGAGTTATCAAAATTTTTGCTTATGCTATTCTTTTTTAAAGAATGCAGGAATAGGTTTTGTTTTTTAGCAAAAACAACAAAACCTTTAAAATTGTATTAGAAAAGTGTTGTAAAAAAGTAGGTGTAAACTGTCTTATTGTGTTTTACAAAAAGACTGCTCAATATTTTAAAAAAATAGAGCAGTGATAAATAAGTAAAAATAGCACTGAATGGTGACATTTTTTTTAGGATTTTTTATCCAAGTCAGATCCATATTTGGAAATATTAAAGGATAATGGAGATGGTACATTTTTAACTGTACATAGAACTCCAGTAAGTATAATTTTGTTTTGTTCAAAATATTATTATTAAAAGAATGACATTTAAAAAATGAAATGGTTCATGCAGCTTTCTAATCCAAAATTAATTATTATATGTGAGTGTTTATATATATATATATATATATAATATATATATATATATATATATATATATATATATATATATATATATATATATATATATATATATATACACATACATACATACATACATACATACATACATATATACATACATACATACATACATACATACATACATACATACATACATACATACATACATACATACATACATACATACATACATACATACATACATATACATCAATTGAGAGTTTGGGCAGGTTTTATTTGGATAAAAATCTTTTATTACAGCAAGAAAAATTTTCAGGAATTTTTAATGTGAAAACCTTCTTGCTATATTATTCTCTATATCATTTTAAAAAATGACTTAGTTAAACAATGACTTAGCCAATATAGTCAAGGAAACTCCTCTATCATTTTTTCTTGTTGTTATACAAATAATATCTCTATAACTTTTTAATGCAAACATTGACAAAGCCTGCTGTGTAAGGAAGAAATAAGAGTGTGCACTTCATTGATGTGATGGTTGTGAACTATATACCTCTGGCTTATGAATCAAAAGCTTGAGCATTTATTTACTTTAAACTGAAACAGGTCTCATGTGCATTTCTTGTGAGCCTGATTTTCAATAAGTTGACACTTCAAGAAAAATTGATTTTATTAAGAGTGAGATAATATTGTGGGTTATATATTTAATTAATGAAACTTTAATATGATATCATATGATGTTAGTATGAGCTTAATAATAGGTCATTTGATTATAACTATTTTTTTTTTTTTTTATTATGTGAAAAAAAAAATTTTATTCTCAAAAAGTAAAGTCTTATTTGATATTTATTTTTTAGTTTTGTGTGTGTGTATGTTTTAGCACATGCATATGAAGTTTTAATTTCAAACTTTTTTAATTTCAGCACATTAATAATACTTTGGATCCAAATTGGAAGCCATTTACTTTAACTCTTCAAAAGCTTTGCAGTGGCAATTATGATCTGAAATTAATGGTAAATGTTGTGTTAAGTCATTGAATTTAACAATTTTTTTATTTCTTATGTTTATAATAAACTTATTAAATTATATAAAATTAAAGTAAAAAAAAAAGATAATATAAAATATACAAAATTTTTTTGAAAAATGTCTGTTATCAAACATGACCTGGATGATCATTGGTATATATATTTAATCATTTTTACATAAAGTGTAATAAATTTAATTTTGTCGCTTTTAAAGACAAAGAGACTGTAAGACCTTTTTTTTATCAAATAAACTGACTGGTTTAAATAAATTACTGGTTTAAATAAATATTTTGAAGATAACTTTGAAAACCAATTCAAAACTCTGGTAATAAAACTCAAATAAAAAGATTATAATTAAGATTAAATCATACAAAATGGCTGCCAAAAATGACAGTGTTGCCAGTAGCAAAAAAACACTGATTTTATGAGTTAAAACTTTATTTTAAACAAAAGAATAACTTTTTATAAATGAATTTTTATTCTTCATTTAAAAACAAGAGATTAAATTTCAAAATGATCAACTGCATATATATTAGGGTGGTGCTAAAAACATTTTTTCTTTGAAAATGTCTGATAACAATCCCTTAAATGTGTTCTATATAATAAAATAATACTAGATTTATAAAAAATTTTGAATAAAAAAATATTTTTAGATGTGCAGCAAGTGCCTTAAACATCAGACAGGTCCCTAATACTATCAAATAAAAGAGTTTTTCGAAAGTATTTTATGTTGAGTCTCAAATGAAGTGAAATTATATAAAAATTTCAAAAACTTGAATCATTGTATAAATAAATTATTACCTTAGATTTTATTAATTAGAAAATATAGTCTTTTTTTATAAATACATAAAGTAATTTATTAAAACATCCCTGTTAAGCATAGTTTTTACCACTTTGCATTATAACATTATAACAAGGGATAATTATAGGTTTAAATAGTTACAATCAAACAATGATGGTAAGCAAAGCAAATAATGTTGAGCATTATTGATGAATATATATGCAGTATAATATAAAATAAAATTATTCTTTTAATTTATGATTACTTGTGAAGAGTTACATCTATCATTTTTTGAAGTATGATTATCATTTAAGATAAATATTAAATTTTCTAGCATTTTTGTTTAGTTGTAACAAAATTTTTTTAGATTCGCTGTTTTGATTATGATGATGATGGAAGTCATGATTTGATTGGAGAATTTTACACGACTTTGGCAGAAATGTGTGGTCAACCACCTGTATGTTGCTTTAAGTTTGAACATTTAAATTTTAACATTTGCAACAAAAATACTTCAGGTCACCTTCATGTTATAGTACTACCATTAAGAATTCAATATCAATACTGTTATGAATTAAATGAGTTTATACTAAGTTAAGTTTTCATAAATAATTAAATTTTTTTTTTCTAGTAGTATATTTATATATCTGCTGCTAGAAATAATAAATATATCTGCTGCTTTAGTGATTGAGGCGGTATTTAAACCTAATTACACTTTTGTTTGAAAATTGTTTGAATCATTACAAGTTTTTAAATCTAATATGCTAATATAGTGTTTAGATTTTTAAAATTGATACAAGCAGAAAAATAAATTTACATTATGTCACCAGTTACTTTTGCAAACTACAAAAAAAACTTGTGATTCAAGAGGTTTAATAAGTTTTTAGTTTTTAAATAGTTTTTTATACTTTTATATTATATTAGTATGTATGTATGTTTTATATTAGTATGTATGTATGTTTTATATTAGTATGTATGTATGTTTTATATTAGTATGTATGTATGTTTTATATTAGTATGTATGTATGTTTTATATTAGTATGTATGTATGTTTTATATTAGTATGTATGTATGTTTTATATTAGTATGTATGTATGTTTTATATTAGTATATATGTATGTTTTATATTAGTATGTATGTATGTTTTATATTAGTATGTATGTATGTTTTATATTAGTATGTATGTATGTTTTATATTAGTATGTATGTATGTTTTATATTAGTATGTATGTATGTTTTATATTAGTATGTATGTATGTTTTATATTAGTATGTATGTATGTTTTATATTAGTATGTATGTATGTTTTATATTAGTATGTATGTTTGCATGATATTAGTATGTATGTTTGCATGATTTTATCACTTTTTTACAAATATGCATGCATTAAAGGCTATCTTGACATTTTTTATCTTCACTTGTAAAGTTTTATTGACTGTGAGAAAATGCATGTTGCATACCAAGCAGCATAAAGATAAATTGTGCATTTTTATTTTTATTTTTAATAGATTATATACTTTATGATACACAGTAATATACATGATGCGAGTAGTTTTTTATGAGCAACGTTGATGCCCTAGAGTTTAAGTTTAAAATCTTTTATGTGTTAATAACATAAAAGATATAAATGGAAACATTGCAATTGGTAACTTTTGCAGTTATCTTTAAGCATATTAAGTATATTTAATAGTTAAATTTAGTAAAAAAACAGAACTGGTTGTGATTTACATTATAGGTAAATTTAATGTGATGTACTTTATCCATAAAGTTTGTTGCACTAAATTTAATTTTAAAATAAAAGTAGATGTTGTTGGCATAATTTTTAATTTTAAAATAGAGGTAAATGTTGTTGGCTTAATTTTTAATTTTAAAATAGAAGTAGATATTGTTGACTTAATTTTTAATTTTAAAATAGAAGTAGATGTTGTTGGCTTAATTTTTAATTTTAAAATAGACGTAGATGTTGTTGGTTTAATTTTTACTTTTAAAATAGAAGTAGATGTTGTTGGCTTAATTTTTAATTTTAAAATAGAAGTAATTGTTGTTGGCTTAATTTTTAATTTTAAAATAGACGTAGATGTTGGTTTAATTTTTACTTTTAAAATAGAAGTAGATGTTTTTGGCTTAATTTTTAATTTTAAAATAGAAGTAAATGTTGTTGGCTTAATTTTTAATTTTAAAATAGAAGTAGATGTTGTTGGCTTAATTTTTAATTTTAAAATAGAAGTAGATGTTGTTGGCTTAGTTTTTAATTTTAAAATAGAAGTAGATGTTGTTGGCTTAATTTTTAATTTTAAAATAGAAGTAGATGTTGTTGGCTGTGCAGAGATAATTTAAGTATTAAAAACTCAAAAAATGCTACAAGCTTTAAAAAAAAAATGGCTTAGCTCATTAGCTCTGCGTGTTTTTGGCGTCATAAAATTATCTTTTTTTTTTTTCTATTTAAGGACTTTAACTTTTATTAAACTGCCACAATAAAATAAATTACTGCAAAACTTAATTTACTTAGTTTAATTTACTAATTAAGAAAAACAAATAAACTAGAAGTTTAATGTACTTTTTTTTATTTATTTTTTTTGTGGAATTTTTATTTTGTTTCAATTTTTTTTTTTTTTTAATATCAAATGATTGAATTTAATATTACATATTTCATTATCATTTAACAGAAATTTATTTCTTTTCTCGATATTTGTGTAAATGAATTAAAGTATGTTAATTTTATTTTTTTAAATTACTGCTTTGCAAATAATAATGATTTTTTTAAGTTAAACAAAAATAAAAAATACTACAAACCAAAAATATTAGTTGTTTCATTGAACTTACAAGAGAACTAATTTGAGTTTTGATTTAATTAAGGATCTGCAAAGGAAAACATTTGATATGTTTTGTTTATTAGTTAAATTTAGCGTTGCATAATTTATGGACGATCCCTTAGCACTTTTTTTTGAGACAAAGATTTAAGTTTCCAAGTACCATTTATTAAAAAAAAAAACTGTTGCGCTTTTATTTGCTTTTCAAAAAATATTTGCATTGCAAAAAATTTATACTTTGTTTTAAAATTTTAAATTAAAATTAAAAATTTGCATTACAAAAAAGTTAAACTTTATGAACATTATAGATGCAGTGTTATAACATGTTTAAAAGGAATTTACTTTTTTGTAAAAAATAGAAAAGGAGGAAGAAAAACCGAAAAAAAATTACAATAAAAATAACCAAATTTTTTTTTAAGAAAAAATTTTATTTATTAAACAATATTTATTATGCATAACTAACTGTCTATTTTAAATAAAATAGACAGTAAATTATGTTAAACCCAAACATCAGCTTTAATTTTATTATCTATATAAATTTATCGTAAATTTATTTATTATTATCTTATACTTTTGAAAAAAATTTTAAGGAAATTTCTGTTTCCACTTTTTTGAAATCGCACACTCTGTCAATTATATAAAGCTGATGTAACTACTATAAAATATTTTTCTTTGATTTAAAATTATTATTTTTCAAAAAGTAAAACTTAATAAGACATTGCAAGAGCTATATTGCTTCAAGCATAAAAAACTTTTTAAAATTAAATAAAAAACTTCTTCTGTGGATATAACTATAAAAGTTATTAACTCTATTATTAATTTTTCAATACAATTGAGGAGTTTAGATGCCTTCGTTAAGGATTGTCCATAAATTACGTAACTCTTTTTATTAAACTTTTTTCATTAAAATGGACTGGTCTTTTTTTTTATTTAACTAAAGGCTCTGCAAAAAAAAACTTTTGATCTTTTTTGATTTGCTTATTAATGAAAATTAGCATTGTGTAATTTACAGGCGATTCCTTATCAAATATATTCATACCTGATGACGTTGTCAAGTATATTTGTTCTTGATAATGAGGGTCTCTAAACTCCCTTGAAATTTTATTTTGAAAAATTAATAATAGACTTGCATAAAAGAAGTTTTTTATGTTATTATAAAAAAATAAACTCTTTATAAGATGTCATTTAAAGATTGTAATAATTAATGTTTTTATATTTTTTGATGCAATTTTTATAACAAAACATAAAAAAATAAAAAAATAAAAATATTAAGTGGTGCTAATATAAAACAAAATTTAGTGTGTACTATTTTTTAGCTAATAATTTTTTAGTTTTTTTTTTTTTTATAATTTGTAATTATTTCTGTTATTGTTTGTTATGTGAAATTGTCTAAATAAATATTCTTGCACTTGCAAGATGATAAATAAATTTTTATTATGATTATTTTATGATTTATTTTTTTATGCGCCTAAAACATCTTCTTTTTTTTTTCTTTTTTTTTTACTGAACATTTTTGATGGAAAAGTTAGGTTAATAAAAATAAAATTTTCTTTGTTTTTTCTTAAGTTATTACATTTCTAAATAACATGAATATCAAATGTAATTAATGCAAACTTTTTTACGTTAATAAAACTTCATCAAAACAGTCAACTTTTTTATGTAATTGTTAATAAAACTTCATATGCTTGTATAACATTTATTACATCTTTTATATTACCACTCGTTTAAATATTAAAAAATAATAAAAAATTGCATGTATGAAATGGCTTCCTGATTATATAAAATGGCTTATGGCGCACATAAATAGTGTGCCAGT